ATTAATCATGTAACAATTCATTTTACTATATTAATAAAGATCGTGAGAAATGCCTCACTTAACATTAAAAAAAAATTATAGTATATTGATTATAAAATTTTAATATAAAAAGAACCATAATTAATTATAATATTTGTATAATAATTTAAGTTTTACTTAGATAATTATTATTATTTTATTTGATATTAGTATAACATGAATTAATAGCTTATTATAGGAAAAAATAGAATTATAAAAATTTTTACTATAGAACAATATTTTTCTTATTTTTTTTACAAATAAAATAGGTTTGATTTAAATTATAATATAAGTTTATTTTTTTTATACTAAGTAATACTATAATAAAAAAGATAGATAGTAAGAAGAATTAATTTAAATAAACTATTTATATAATAATAGTAATATCAAGAATTAAATAAAATTGAGAATTTATTAATGAATATAATAAAAAAAACAAATATAGCAAAATTTATTGATAAAAATTATATACTAAATTATATATTAATTATATACATACTGTATATGCTATTTATAAATTTATTTTTTTACCAATAATCGATAAGTAATATTATGTTGAATAAATCATTTATATTAAAATATATAACTTTAGCTGTTAGTCTTGATCTTTGTAAAAGATTAAAAATAAAATAATAATAATAATTATTATTATATAAATGTCCATTAGACAGAAAATTTTATAAACAATCTAATTAATATATTATTTAATTCGAATTCAATTTAACATCTTTATAAGCATAAGAATTTTTTTACCTAGGAGATTTTTTTTTATACGTTATAAGAAGGTATTTTTTTAAGCAAGAGATTTCCGTTCAGTCGAAATAAGGGATTCGTGATACCCTAAATTGATCGGGAAGGGCTTTTTTACTACGTCTCATTTTAAACTAAATAGATGATTTGCGTTACCATCCATCTGTCGTATAACTTGTTATAGCAAATGTCACGTTGAAAAAAAACTCCGGTTTACTAATAAAAGGAACTTCCGATTTGTTATCGTGAATTCAATTGACATTCAAAATGGCTGAACATGATTCAGATTGGTATATTGGCTCAAGAATTTCAAATAAAGAAGAAACTTCTAGCGATAGTGATACGGAATCAAGTATAGAAATTTTGATAGGAGACAGGGAGCATCAAAAGCATGAAAGTTATTCATATCAGAATTATTCTCGTTCACAAGGCGAAGTCGTGGAGTTTATCAACGGTTCTAATGCGCAAGACGAAGATATAAAATTTGTAAATAATTCTTATACACAGGAAATCGTAGACGGTTCTGCTGTGCTTGGAGACAAAACAAGAATCATAAACTATTCTGATACACCAGCGCTCATAAAATCTCTTAATATTAACGATTCTTCCCAAGAGAATGGAAGTCTGACGTCATCTTCGTCAGAAGATAGCAGCGATTCAAATGATGAAATAATAATAGATTGGAAAAGGATTCAAGATAGACAAAGGAAGATTGAATTACGTAAAAAGTTGTTGGCAAATGAAGCTAGAAACAAGAATGTCAACAGGTTGACCAGTGATTTGTCAATTGGATCGTCTAATAGTCATTCAGCGACTAATAATCAATTACCAGGGGACAGTAGAAACAGGTTTTGCTTTTCAGAAGAACAGTTTACTGAGACGCCTTCTAGTTCAATGTGTCCGGTTAAACCTGTTCAAAGACTCTCTGTTCATACGTTAAAGTTTAAAAAGTTTAAAGCTTCTACAAAGACATTTGCACCACCTAATTCTTATGTTGATGATGGATCGGCTTGGATCCCAAAGGTCAAACGGAAGCGACTTCCAATTGAGGCGCGAAGAGATGATATCGTTAATCTTATCCGTGAAAATAGAGTTGTCATACTAAGTGGTAGTACAGGATGTGGCAAGGTATCAAGCAAGTAAATCGCATCACCTTCTGATTTCTTCAAACATCGGATGTTCCAATGATGATCGAACGTTCTTACAACGTAGTCCACTCAAGTTCCTCAATATATACTTGATGATTGTTTGCAACGAAAAGAACCTGTGAATATAATTTGCACACAACCGGTAAATTAAATCTCTCTCTTTGGTCAAACATGATGTGCGAAAAGACTAATGAATTCACCTTCTGTTGTGTAGCGTCGTATTGCTGCTACTTCACTTGCGCATCGTGTCGCTTCAGAACGCGTAACTAAACTTCATGGACAGATTGGATTTCATATTGGTGGAAAAAGCGGTTATTCTTCGGCAACGAGGTTAAGATATGTCACCACTGGAATTCTTTTGGAAATGCTTAAGTTAGATCGATTTTTGAAATCATATACTCATGTGATTATGGACGAGGTACGCGTTTAGGCTTGAGCTTTACGATAAATGAACTGCTTAATAGTAATTTGGCTTTTCTACGTGTACAAGATACACGAGCGTAATGTAGATGACGATTTAATGATGGCTCACCTCTGTGTCATCATGAGACAAAATCCATCTTTAAAATTAATTATTATGTCGGTGGGTTCTCAATTGGACTATGTTGAATGCTTTTCATTCAAATTTGTTATTATCATGAATAGATATTTGACTCGTAAAATTAGGCTACCATGAATGTCAAGAAATTTAAGAGGTACTTCCATGAGTTTGGAACTGAAAGGAGAAGATTATCCTCGGAGATTCCTTGTATAGATGTACCTGTTAAAAACTTCCCAGTTGATGTATTCTACTTGGAAGATATTTGTCAGGAATTGCGGGTTCCCAATGCATTCAGAAACTCGGCTTTGAGTGAACCCAGAAAACCTTCGATGATGCAAGAACGTCGAGAATTGTTTTTAGATTGGATTTTTCATTGTCACGCAACTTCCCCGGTTGAGGAGGCGTTCTTGGTTTTTCTTCCGGGAATTTCTCTCATTTCTGAATTGGTGAGATTCTATTTTTATTCTTCATGTTATTTATGCAAAAATATATTAAAGTCTTACATACCCTAGGAGGATCAATTAATGTTTCTCAATGACCTTCAGAGGTAGCTATCCTTAGATTCTGCTATTCGTCATTTGCAGGAGGTTTTGAGGTTAATCCATTTTATGAATATAAATAATGATTTCTAGAAGGGAGGCAGGTCGTAAAGGTGAAATGCCTAATCCTCAAGTTTCTATCATTAAACTCCACTCCACCGTCACCATTGACGAACAATGTTTAGCCATGCAATTACCTAGAAAAGGCTACCGAAAAGTGAATATTCGGTTGAACGTTCTTCCATTTTATTTTCTGCTTGCTGGAGACGCTCATGAAATTTTGTTTAATGCAGATTATTTATGCAACAAATGTTGCCGAAAGTTCGATCACAGTTCCAGACGTGAGAATTATATTTGATTCTTGTTTGCGAAAAGACGTTTTTTACGATAAGACATCACGGTGCTACAGTCTTAATGAACAATGGATTAGCAAAGATTGTGCTGAGCAACGGAGGGGAAGAGCTGGTAGAGTAGGACCTGGTAAGGTAAGCAACTAGCTTAATGTATGATTATTTATAAAGAATGGATATTTATGTTCGAACGACACCCATCATTCAGATTTATAGGCTCGTACCTAAAAGTTTCTATAACCGTTTCTATGATGAGAGGACGCCGGAAATAAAGAGGACACCATTGAATTCATTATTGCTACGATGTATTTATGCCACCTTTGGTGATCCACGGGAGCTTTTGTCGCACTGTATCGATCCACCTGATGACACTGCTGTTGACTATGCTTTAGAGGATCTGGAAGCAACTGGTGCAGTCATAAAGACAAATGAGACCTTTAGGGAATACGATGATCACGCTCAAGGAAATAAGCCATCCTACGAGTACGAGGTAACTCGACTTGGGGCTATCTTAGCACAGTTACCGCTAGACCTACATTCTGGATTATTGGTAGTTTACGGTGCTTTATTTGGAGTTTTATATGATGCCATGATTATAGCAGGTAAAATCTCTTGAAAGTAGATGATTTCAAATAGATGCCTCCATATTTAACAAATACCTTTTATATTTCAAAATGAAGCAATTTTGCAAAACCGAGGTGTAATAGTGCAACCCCAGGGTCAAGAGATGGGTATCAGTGCGGCAATGAAAAGATTTCACCTAAATTTACCCAACAACTATCCTTTACAAGGCGGTTCCGATCTTATATCACATCTTCGCGGATATTTATTATGGGAAGAAACTGTGCAAAATGATAATACTTTTGATCAAAAGAGTGAGTTGGCTTGGTGTCAACAACAATTCATCAGCTTGTATTGGATACGTGAAATACAAGATCTGGTGATTACAATTCAGGAGTCTTTGGCCTATCAAAATATCTGCACACCACCAACAAAAGAAGACAGAGATGAGATACGTAGGAATCGGATAAATAACCCTAGCATTTATGCTGAGGATTCCTCAATTGAAGACGAGCTGGATAATGAGCAGTACAATGATCAGTACATTGATCAAGCGATTCGTATTCTTGATTTCACAAGATATAATGTGAGCCCGGATGATCCACATGAGGATGACGTTGAAGAAATTCCATTTTCTAATAGAAGTCGTACATATACCTGTTCGAAAAACAACGTACCTTTACATCAATTAAGTTTCAGCACAAAAAAACTTCTAAATCCCTGGATGAACGTTTTTGATCGTGTCTACGAGGTTACAAGTAGACCAGTTCAGTTACGCCGGGAGCCTAACACTCCCTTACTAACGATCCTGTTGATTGCTGCATTTCACCAAAATTTGTTTCGTGTTACTCCGAGCACTGATAATCGCGTTTTCAAGGATTGTCCAGAAGACTACAACCGACAGCATACAATAGAGTTTGTTGCACAAATGCTTCCGCCAAAGCGTATGCTAGTGGATGCGCTCGAAAAAGACATAGGGATGGTACAGAAAGTGGTACATCCCGATACTGATCCGTCGGATCCCATGGCTGACTATGAATATTGTTATGTTGAATTTGTGAAGCCCGCTGTATGCTTATGGACCCAATCACGGGATCGGAATAAACCCCCTATACCCGATGCTGTTTATTTGGCACAGAAATTAAGAAGTGTCAAATATGGAATATGGACTGACAACATTACATCAAATGATTCAGTCGCACATGTTATCGGTAGTTCGTCTTACGCTGAAGAGCTGAAAAAATTACGTTTTTCTGGTATAAACGGCTGCCCTGAAACATCATCTGCTCTTTCTCCAATTTTCCGTTCCAAGTCAACTCGAGCCTTTCAATCTAAGACTTCACTATTTTTCCCATTGATTATTGATCCCGGCGAACACCATTGTTACTCTATATGTGCTAGCAAATTGCTTGCCGTAGATAATGGGAAAGCTCACGTTGCCGAACACATTACGTGCCTAATAGGCCCCCTGAATGCTGCCAATAATGTGGGAGAAATAATTCTTTCTCTCTTTGCGAATAAGGTGATAGACCACCAATCTTGGAAGGTACATGTAAACATGACGCAACATCCACTCTTTGCTGAGGCACCTGCTGAAGTAGACAGGAGGTTAATACATTCATTTAGGTATTTTTTGAAGCAAGCATTATTTGAAAAAGAGCCTAATGTGAAAAAACCCGGATTTAAATCAACAAGTAATTTAACTCCGACTAATCACAAAGAGATGGTTGATACTTGGATGAGGTGTTGGGTAACACCTGATGAAGCTGGAAAATTCTTGGTGAAAACGGTTTTAATGATTCTTTAATAAATTCGCTTATTATGTTAATTTTAATAACTATTTTCCGTGATGAAATATAGACCATGTACAATCATTGAAGGATGTAAATTTTTTCTTATTAAATTTTTCAAAATTAAAGATTTTAATATAAACTGTCTTTACAGGTACAGTTTCTTTTTATAAATAAAAATACATGCTTAAAGTTGAACTTACGTTTTCCTATATTATGTTAAAATATAATTATATATAATATAAACAGTTGAGTGTTTATTTTTTTATGTGTTAAGGTGAAATTATGTCTCATGATATTTATTAATAAAATAAATATAAATTTATATTATAAGATATAAGATACAGTATATTCATATCATATATACATATTGGTTTATCACTAAGAAAAAAAGAAGCTATTTACTTGTTAAGATTTTTGTCTATTATTTAATTAAAGTTTCATATAATTAAATTTATATAAAAAAAAAAAAATAAAATTATAGCTTTATAATAATATTATTATATGTATTAGTTATTTTTTGAAATTGTATATAGTTAAATTTAAAAAGATATGGTTTTATAAAATAATATATGAAAAAAAACCCTTTTTTTTTATATATAACTTTTTTTCTTAAAAATTTCTTTTTATAATAATTTTTTTTCAAAATTAAAGAAACAATTTTTTTTTGTCTTTCAATATTCAAAAGTTTTTTATACTTTCTTTTTCTTTATTACAAGAATCTCAAGAAAATTAAAAAAATATATTGGTATATTGGAATGGAACTTTTGATTAGAGAAAAGCAAGTTTAAAGATTTTGTTTTTTTTTTGAATTGCATAAGAAAAATACTTATAGTAGTTATTTTTTTATAAATTTTTCTTGAAGTTCTTTATATTTTTTTTTCTAATATATAAATCTTTTTAAATAACTGTATTTTTTGCTTAAAAGATTTTTTTTTAATTCAAAAAATCAAATATTATATTAAAATTGTTTATATTGTTAATTTAAAACATCAATAATATATTCAATATTTATTTATTATTACTTAATATACTTTATTGTGTTATCAAAAATCAAAAATTTTTTGAATAAAAATTTCTTATTAAAAAATCATAATTAATTTAATCCCACAATCAGATTGGTGTCATATATTTATTAAATCATAAAGAACCATTACATGCATGAGAATATATGCAAAGTACAAATTTCTCTGATCCAA